TCCTCCTCGTCTTGCTCGTCCTCCTCCTCGTGGTGTTCTCTCCTCCTCCTCCTCCTCCTCCTCCTCCTCCTCCTCCTCCTCCTCCTCCTCCTCCTGGTGGTCCTCGTTCTCCTCCTCCTGGTGCTCTCCCCCCCCCTCCTCCTCCTCATCCTCGTCCTCCTCCTCCTCCTCCTCCTCCTCCTCCTCCTCCTCCTCCTCCTCCTCCTCCTCCTCCTCCTCCTCCCTCCTCCTCCCTCCCTCCCTCCTCCTCCTCCTCCTCCTCCTCTTCCTGTCGTCCTCCTCCTCCTGGTCGTCCTCCTCCTCCTGCTCGTCGTCCTCCTCCTCCTGCTCGTCCTTCTTCTCCTGCTCCTCCTGCTCCTCGTCCTGCTCCTGCTCGTCCTCGTCCTCCTGGTCTTGCTCGTCCTCCTCCTCGTCGTGCTCTTGCCCCTGCTGAAAGTGTGGCCCAGGAATGGGAGTTCTGGGAAGTCGAAGAGCACGAAGTTGCCTACAGTTGGCTACGGGCATCCAAAATCTGGCCCGGGAATGGAGTTCTGGGAACTCGAAGAGCACGAAGTGGCCTACAGTTGGCTCCGGGCATTCAAAATGTGGCCCGGGAATGGAGTTCTGGGAACTCGAAGAGCACGAAGTGGCCTACAGTTGGCTCCGGGCATTCAAAATGTGGCCCGGGAATGGAGTTCTGGGGACTCGAAGACCACGAAGTGGCCTACAGTTGGCTCCGGGCATTCAAAATGTGGCCCGGGAATGGAGTTCTGGGAAGTCGAAGAGCACGAAGTGGCCTACAGTTGGCTCCGGGCATTCAGAATGTGGCCCGGGAATGGAGTTCTGGGAGGTCGAAGAGCACGAAGTGTGTGACTGTTGGCTTAAAACGACTTCTGCGGCACCCTGTCCGGCACCCGCCCAGACCCCCTGTGGAGTCATCTGCTGCTCTCTTTTGAGACCACTAGAAACCTATCAGTCTTCGCTGTTAGGTTAAAAAAAATTATCCCGGCAAAGCAACCTAACAGCAATGTGTAGAAGCATATCTGAAAGCATTCCCCTTAAGATTCAGATGAAAATCCAGTTGTAGAATTCTGCTGTTCTCGCAGTCGTAGTCGCATTCGCGATGACAGTCGCAGCGGCAACGGCAGTCGCAGTCACAGCCTCAGCCTCAGCCTGCCTCAGCCTCAGCCTCAGCCTGCCTCAGCCTCAGCCTGCCTCAGCCTCAGCCTCAGCCTGCTTCAGCCTCAGCCTCAGTCTGCCTTCAGCCTCGGCCTCAGCCTCAGCCTGCCTCAGCCTCAGCCTGCATCAGCCTCAGCCTCAGCCTCAGCCTGCCTCAGCATCAGCCTGCCTCAGCCTCAGCCTCAGCCTGCCTCAGCCTCGGCCTCAGTCTGCTTCAGCCTCAGCCTCAGTCTGCCTTCAGCCTCGGCCTCAGCCTCAGCCTGCCTCAGCCCCAGCCTGCCTCGACCGCAGCATCAGCCTGCCTCAGCATTCAAAATGTGGCCCAGGAAAGGGAGTTCTGGGAAGTCGAAGAGCACGAAGTTGCCTACAGTTGGCTACGGGCATTCAAAATGTGGCCCGGGAATGGAGTTCTGGGAACTCGAAGAGCACGAAGTGGCCTACAGTTGGCTCCGGGCATTCAAAATGTGGCCCGGGAATGGAGTTCTGGGAACTCGAAGAGCACGAAGTGGCCTACAGTTGGCTCCGGGCATTCAAAATGTGGCCCGGGAATGGAGTTCTGGGAACTCGAAGACACGAAGTGGCCTACAGTTGGCTCCGGGCATTCAAAATGTGGCCCGGGAATGGAGTTCTGGGAAGTCGAAGAGCACGAAGTGGCCTACAGTTGGCTCCGGGCATTCAGAATGTGGCCCGGGAATGGAGTTCTGGGAGGTCGAAGAGCACGAAGTGTGTGACTGTTGGCTTAAAACGACTTCTGCGGCACCCTGTCCGGCACCCGCCCAGACCCCCCTGTGGAGTCATCTGCTGCTCTCTTTTAAGACCACTAGAAACCTATCAGTCTTCGCTGTTAGGTAAAAAAATCGACAGCGAGAGCATGATTCCTGAGTGTCGAGGACGCGGTGTCTGAATTCATTACGGAGAAGTCCCACGCGAGAGCGCGATTCCTGTATAAATTGCGAGGAAGTCCCGCGCGAGAGTGCGATTTGGCAACACATTGTGAAGATGTAGAAGGCAGGAACCGATGTTGTTGTAAACTGGGGGTCAAGTGCACAGTTTGGTGACACCTCACTGTCTGGCGACTCCGAACCGATGCGAGACGCACCGAAAATGGACGGACAGAAGCACTGCAAACCAAGACGCGACGAACCGCATCAAGACGAACCCAAAGGATACGAAGGCCGAACCAACCTGACTCGAAGCGAGACAAGACAAACTGACCATCCTGAAACTAAACGGCGTCCCCTGACGAGGGAGACCAACTCCGAGGTGCCAGGGCCCCTCGCAGATAACCAAGGCAACGATTTGGCGTAAAATGCGTTTGCTACGTGTTGTGCTGCACTAGGTTGCGTCAAACTGTATTGAACTGTGCTGTTCTCTGTTGCGTTGTGGATCTAGCATCCCTTGGCAAACCCGATCCAGTCCGAACTGATCTGGGTCTTGAGCTCAAGCTGCCTACGCGCATGGTTCGCCACAAGCTGGCGTCTGTCGTAACATGCGGGGCGTTCAACCAGCTCGAACTCAAGATTTGTCTTAGTTCCGAAGTGGCGCGAACCAATCGGGGGGCGAACCCGAACCAAAACGAAACGCACCCAGACGACGACAAGGCCCCGGTACGACGCCTCCTCAAACAATACAAACCCAGCGTTTCGCGAGAGGCATCCTCAACACATCCTGCAGAGGGAGGCTTTCGCTGCAGGCGAGGCCCTCGCTTGAGACATCCTCAACACATCCTGCAGAACGAGCGTTTCGCTTTAGACGTCCCAAAAAACAATCAGATGTCAGAAATTCGCCTGGGCGACCTGGACACAATGAAGCCAACGTTTCGCTCGAGACATCTTCAACACATCCTCATCTTAGAGATCCGCCTGGGTGACCTGGAACAAGCGTGAACACACGTGGGTCCGTTTCGACCCATAGCAGAGCAGGCGTGACAGCACATGGGTCCCTGGCGCCCCACGGCGGACCAAACCTGAAAACGCGTGGGTCCCTTGCGCCCGACAGCGGAACAGGCGTGAAAATACGTGGGTCCCTTTCGCGCCAAGACGGAACAAGCACGAGCACGCGTGGGTCCCGTTCTCGCCAGGGCGGACGTGGGCCCCGTTCGCGCCAGAGCGGGACAAGCGTGAAAACACGGGACGGGTGGGCCCCGTTCGCTCCAGAGCGGAACAAGCGTGAAAACACGTGGGCCCCTTGCGCGCCAGAGCGGAACTAGCGTGAGGACACGTGGGCCCCGTTCGCGCCAGAGCGGAACAAGCGTGAAAACACTTGGGTCTCTTTCGCTCCAGAGCGGAAACAACGTCCAAACACGTGGGTCCCTTTCGCGCCAGAGCGAACAAGCATGAAGACACTTGGGTCGCTTTCGCGCTGGACTGGCACAAGCGTCCAAACACGTGGCTCCCTTTCGCTCCAGAGCGGAACAAACGTGAAAACACGTGGGCCCCTTGCGCGCCAGAGCGGAACTAGCCTGAAAACACATGGCCCCCTTCCGCGCCAGAGCGGAACAAGCGTGAAAACACGTGGGTCCCGTTCGCGCCAGAGCGGAACAAGAAGAAGCGTGTAAACATTTGGGTCCCGTTCGCCCCAGAACGGTCTGGGCGACCTGGACACGTAAAACCAAGGCGTTCTCAGCATCTCCTCATGCTACAGATCTGCCTGGGCAACCTGGACGCGTGAAAACAAGCGGTTCGCTTGAGACATCCTGCCCAACTTCTCATGCTAGACATCCGACTGGGCGACATGGAGATGTGAAAACCAGCATTGTGATCAACACATCCTCATGCTAGACATCCGCCTGGGCGACCTGGACACGTGGAATCCAACGTTTCGCTCGAGACATCCTGCCACAATCCTCATCTTAGACATCCGCCTGGGCGACCTGGACACGTGAAAGCAAGCGTCTCGCTCGAGACATCCTCAACACATCTTCATGTTAGACACCCGCCTGGGCGACCAGGGCATATGAAAACAAGAGTTTCGCTCGAGACGTTCTCAACAAATCCTCTTGCTAGACATCCGCCTGGGCGACCTGGACACGTAAAACCAAGCGTCTCACTCGAGACATCCTCAACAATTCCTTATGCTAGACATCTGCCTAGGCGACCTGGACGCGTGAAAACAAGCATCTCGCTCGAGGCATCCTGAACACATTCTCATGCTAGACATCGGCCTGGGCAATCTGGACGCGTGAAACCAAACGTCTCGCTCGAGACATCCTCAAGACCTGGGCACGCGAAAACAAGCATTTCACCTGAGAGATCCGCTGAATTCTGATCCCCAGGAGTGGAACAATGTAGAACACAAAGCAAGTGTTTCGCTCGAGACATCCTCAACACATTCTGCAGCACAAACGTTTCGCTCGAGACATCCGCAATTCACCAATATGAGTACTTTACGATTAGTTTCATCGATCGCAGTTTCAAAAACAAGCGTGTCGCTTGGGACGTCCGAGTAGGTCAATTCGCAAATCCTACGCGACCTCGTTATTGATCGCAGAATAAGCCCGCCGGCCCTACGCAAGTCGGGGCCAGGCAATTTGGTTCACCAACTAAGAGAGAACCCTGGACCTGTGTCCGTGCCGGGAAAATGCAATGGTTACCGGAGGGGGGACCAACAATAGTTAGTCTTGAGAATTGAGAATTCAGCAACAACAGCAACAGCAGCAACAACAACAACAATCACAACATCAACAACAACAACAACAACAACAACAACAACAACAATCCGCACCGCGGAATCCTACTTCAGCCATGCAACCCGGGACAGTGAATGACCGATCGGCCCCCTCACTCTGTATGTGATATCTGTGAATGTGTTTGAGTGTGTGTGTGTGTGTTTTTCCCCAGTGCCGAACATGTCCAGCTGCACCAGCTGCAGGCCGAAGGCGACCCAAAGGCCGCACTGCCACGCGGCCATGTATCGGGTGTTACCAGAGGTGTGCCTGGCCCAATGTGTCCCCAAGATGTTCAAGGAGGCCCGCGCTGCATCCAGAGCACCCCTCACAATGCCCTAAGGGCCCAAAGTGGCTCCAGAATGAAGCGGGAAGCTGGGATCACCTTTGGAGACCTCCCAGATGGAGTCCGGGTAGATGGGGTCCGAGGATCGAGCCGCATCGCCGATGCATCGCCGATGCGGCGCGATCCTCCAACCCCGTCTACGCGGACCCAACCTGGGAGGCAGAGGCACCTTGGGCCAGGGACACCTCTAGCAGCCCCCGAATGTAGAGCAGGGACCCGAGGAAGCGCAGCTGGGCGGCCCGCTGCCACATTCGCGCGTTCCCTGCAGCGGAAGCGGGCACAAAAGCATGCACACACATGCCCGAGTAAGCAAACGCACGCACACAGACATGCATAGATGTTGCCGAGTTGCGGGTGGCACGGATGGCAAGAGGGACCCAGACCCCCTCGCGTCAGGACAACATCACGACGGGATGATGTTTGGCAATGTTTGGCTTCTGGGGGCGCTCGCTGAGCCTCGGGACCGTCAAACACGACTCAGGACAAACGTGATCGACCCACGAACCCGGAAAAAATATTGAGAACTGCGAGGCATGGAACCGTTTCTAAGGACCTCAATTGCGAATGCAAATGCGCGATGCCAAGGGGACATGCCAGGGGAAGGAACGCGCCGCGGGACGTCCCAAGGGATGCTCCAGGGGACGTGCCAAGGGACGTGCCGTGGGGACGCACCGTGGGACGTGCCAAAAGGACGCGCTGCGGAACGTGCCAGAGGACGTGCCATGGGGACGCACCGCGGGACATGCCAAGGGCTCGCGCTACGGAACGTGCCAATGGACGTGCCAAAGGACGTGCCAAGGCACTTGCTGCGCGACGTGCCAGGGGGACTTGCCACGGGACGCGCCACGGAACGTGCCACGCGACGCGCCAAGGAACGTGCCAGGGAATGCGTCAGGGAACGTGCCATGGGACTTTCCTTACCCAGGGCCAGGATCCATCGTACATTAGGCTGCGTCCGCGCTCTCAGGGCCACGATCGATTCTAAATTACACTAGGCGCTTCCTGGGCCACGATCCCTTGGAAATCACGTTGCGTCCGCTCTCCCTGGGCCACGATCCCTTGTGTAAAACAGCGCTGCGTCCGCGCTCCCAGAGCCGCGCTCTCTCGTAAATTGCGCTGCGTAAGGGCCACGTTCCCAAATACATTACGCTGTGGCCGGGCCCCCCCAGGGCTAGAATCCCTAGTAAATTGCGCTGCGTACGCGCTCCCAGGGCCACGACCCATCGTGCATGACGCTGCGTATGCGCTCCCAAGGCCACGATCCGACGTAAATTACACTGCGCCCGCTTTTCATGGGCCACAATCCCCTGCAACCTACGCTGCGTCCGCGCTCCCAGGTCACGGGCTCAAATCTGGCGGGCGCAGGCCTGGAAAATGACGGCCACGGCGCCCTCTCGAGAATTGAAAACGGACAATTCACTAATCGACGTGTCAGGGTGGGGATTCTGTCCACCTCCGATACGGGGGGCCTGGACGACCCCCCGTAACGGATGTTGCCGATTCCACAGGTAACAAATCATCTCTGAGCAAACCACCATTCCTTGGTGGAAGCGGGGGACGGTAGTTCAAAGATGGGGTCCTGAACGATGGGGGCCTAAGGATAGGACGGGATCCAAGGGTGGATTTACGTTGTCTGAGGCACCTCGTCCTTACGACTCCATCCCTCAGAACCCCATCTTTGAACCACCGAGGCCGACAAGGGAAGGGCAAGGAAGCACAAAGGCGCATAGCAAGAACCTGCCATTATTAGCGCCGGCAGCGCGAGACAACATGTCTCGGGTACTCTCTCACAAGCGTGCGAGGAACGGGCTCTCGGTGGGTCTTGTGGCTCAACGTGCCGGCCGACCAGAAGACTTGCAAAGCACTGTTTCTCCGCCTGCAGCACCCAAGACGGTCCAAGATATCAACGTGCCAGAGACGGCACAAGTTTTGGCCCAACATGGCCTCAACAACAGCCTCGGTCGCCTCCAAGGCGGCCAAGATGGCCCCAAGAGGGCCCCAAGACGGGCCGCGATGCCTCCAACATAGCCCAAGACGACCTCGGGACAGTTCAAGAGGCCCCAACAAGCCCCTGGAGGGCTCCAAGATGACCCCGAAGGAGGCCAAGACCAGCGTCTGCCCTGTAGTCGATCAACTCATGTTGCATTCTAATTGTTTCGTGTCGGGCGTCCGAGAGCCGGGTCTTCAATATAGCCCGAAGACGGCCCCGGGCCCCAAGACGCCCCCCCCCCCCCCCCGCAGGCCTCAAGACGGGCCCAAACGGAGGCCCCAAGGCGGCCCAAGACGCCCCCAAGACGGTCCCACGGACCTCCAAGATGGCCCTGGATCACGCCAAGGAGGCCCCAGGACGGGCGAATGAGGCCCCCAACACACACATCCGAAAAGCCACTACGCCCGCTCTCCCTTCTCCTGAACATGTGTCACTGAACCTCCTCCTCCTCCTCCCCATCCTCCTCCTCCTCCTCCTCCTCCCCCTTCTCCTCTCCCCCCAAGGGGGGTCAACAGCGTAGTCTAATGGCTGGGCCAGCCTTTCGCCCAGCGTTTAGCAAGATAGGCGTTTCCAGAAAGGAGGGAGCGGTAGTTCGCCGCAGGCATCTTCGGTATTGAGTATTCGCCAGTTTGCTTTGTCTGTCTCCCTCTAACCTGCGGCGGCGTATGGCTGGGCAGCGGACACCACGCCAGCAACCTTCAGGCCCACGCCCAACCACACGAATGTCGACTCGTGTGCGCACCACGCCTGCGTGCCGCGGAAGAGAGGCAGGCACTGGAGGCCCACGTGCGTCAACTCGCTCTCGTCGCTTGCCTGCAGCTGCTCTGGAGGAAGCAAAGCTGCATAAACATGCACTTTCGGAGCTCCACGCGAATTCCTTGGATCGGCGCTGGGCCGCGCTCCATGGCGCGCGGAGGGCCCAGGTTGAGCAGGGACCGACCGTCTTGGCATTCCTATAGTCATACCACGAAATGTTCTAAGAACATTTCGTGGGAACCACAAAAGGTTCTTAGGACATTGTTTGGTAGGCCTACACAGGCGAGCCAGGACGCTTCGCAACTGCTTGACAAGGGGCGGCGCCGAAGGCGCCGCCAAGGGGGCCCACCGCGGACTTCAAGAATCCGCGCAGACCTCCGACAAGCTATGATTATGTCGGCGTTGCTTCGTCGATGCTCGGCGTGCGCGTCCGTGATCTCCTTGTTTGAAGGGGCCCAAGGACACACAAAAAACACATACACAAATAAAACATCCCTATATTTCCCCATGTTTTTTGCTGTTCGTCTCCCCCCCACTTCCCATATTACCCATATTTTCATGGGAATCGACGATTAATTGTGTCTGTGTGTTTTTTCCCTCCTGATTGTTGGACGCCCAGAATGGGTACGCAAAACAGCACCACGATCCCCAACAACAGATGTCATCCAACACCGACAACGGCCGCGGAATGGCGGGCGGCTGTCTGTCTCAAATGGACAGCGTCCGCGGCGACACCGACAGCGAGCCCTCTCCAACATGGACGAGAACGACTGCCAATCCTCGTGCGCCTTTCGGTGAGACGCAAGACTCGGATTCGGGGGAATCGGTCTGGCCTGACGGGGCCCTCAGAAAAACCGACGAGGCCCAACCTGAAAGTCGACTCGAGCTCCCGACTCAAGCGTCCCACACCGGCACAATTCGGGACGGACCCGGCACACTTCGGGACGGGCCCGACCACTGTCTCCGTATCCATTTCGGACCCCGCACCCTGGAGCAGGGGCCGGCCGTCCCAGCATTCCTATAGGCCTATAGGTCCACCACGACATGTTCTTAGAACTCCAAAAAAGTTCTCATAACGAAAACAAGGTTCTGAGAACATGAGCCCGATGTGTTAAAACAGGACGGTCTCGAAACAAATGCTCGACGAACGTGTCGTGCAGACCACGGAATGCTCTCTTAGAACATGCTGTGGTGGGCCTTTAACCGAGCCAGGACGCTTCGCCACTGCTTGACACCCCTCAAATCTACAACTGGAGGAAGCCCACGGAGCGCCAGGGAGGGGGGCCCAGCGCGGATCCAAGTGATCCGCGCGGAGCGCCAACAGTTTATGTTCATGGCGTCTTCTCTTCTTCGATCCTTCTGCAACTGGAAGTAATCCACGGAGCGCCAGGGAGGGGGGCCCAGCGCGGATCCAAGAGATCCGCGCAGAGCGCCAAAAGTTTATGTGTATTGAATCTGCTTTGTCCGATCCCTATCCCCAACGGCGTGGCCTGGGCCCCACTGGCCGATTTGCCCGGGATGGGGATGGGGGTCGGATAAACGATACTGATTCGATCCTTCTGCAACTGGAAGAAGCCCACGGAGCTGCCCGGCCACAGCGACCTCGGGAGCGGCCAAGAGTGGGGTGTCCAAGGGGGGGGGGGTGCAAATCATGACCGGCGGCATGTGCGCGGCCCAGCGGGGGGGCCAGGGACGTAGTGAAACAAGAAGAGGCGCCATGAAATCTGGGAAATATCATGGCCCCCGCCATGATGTTCCCCCCCCCCCCTAGTCATCACCCCCATCTTTTCCGCCCCCGACGACCGCGAGAACTTCTGCACCGAGGAGCTCGCCGCGGGGCTGCCTTGCGGGGGGCCCTCGCTCAGGGCGGAGTCCAGCGACGCGCGCCGCCTTCTGCGGGGGGCCCCCAGAAGCTGCCGGCACAGCCACACTCTCGGGCATTGTCAGGACTAGGCTTCGTGGAAGGACCGGTTTTCGTGTTGACTACCTACCAGACCACCCCAACCCAACCCGAAGACCCGAATTTCGGGTTGGGGGGGGTAAGGGTTCCACACATGTTTTCTCTATGTTTCCCGACCCCCCCCCCACTGGAAATCGAGGGTAAATCTGAGCCTTCGGGTTGGGTTGGGGTGGTTTGGTGGGTGGTGACGTGTTGGGTCGGGCGCGTCCCCCCACAGGCGGATCTCGGACGAAACATAACAAATGCGCAAACATGCTCGAACATAATCAAAAATAAGAGACATGATTCCCCTGAGTATCTTTTCCCATTTGGGAAATTTCCTCCTGTAGAGGGACATGCCCGACTGAAATTTAGTGGGAGGACCGGGTCAAAGGGACCTGGTTTAAGGGAGTGTGCTTGGGGACGCCTCCGCCGCCCCATTCCGCTAACCAGATCTGCGGCCACCTGGAACACACACACACACACACACACACACACACACACAAGATACGACAGACCTGGCATCCTGTTTTTGTCCGGCATTTTCCGTGTGTTGGCTTGGCGGCCAGGGGCCCTGGCTATCCTGGCACTCCCCGGACCTCTCCTGGGGTGCGTCTGCCAAGGATTTCGAGGCGAATCCAGCTGTGGCCACAAGGGCCTCCCAGAATCCCCCAAACAGGCGAAAACGAGGCAAGGGTAGTGGCATCGATACTGCGACCCAACGATGAAACAAACACATTCGGCAAAGGCGAATAATGCCAACTGTCTCGTGTGGGTCGCTGGCTGTAGCCTGCCGGCCTCCACCGCGACGACGACGACAGACAAGGGATACATTGTCCATCGTCCATTCCCTCAATGGGGCGCTACGCGGGGACTTCTTCTCCGCTTGGTCGCATGACCGACACCGCTACTCCACGGACCTATCCCAAGGTGCGTTCTGACTAGAATTTCGAGGCGAATCCAGCTGTGGCGACGAGGGCTTCCCAAAAGCAGCACCAAAGAGGCGAAAACGAGGCAAGGGACAAAGGTATCGGCACCTTTCCCATACCGTTTCCCGACATTACGGGGTCCACGGATGTCCCGACCATTTCCCCAGGGCATGCTTTTCATCCCGAGTCCTTGAATCCCACCAGCACTTTGGGCGTCGGTGGTTTAGGGCGTTTCCTCTTCCACCCCTCCCTCTTCCTCTTCGGGGCGTGGACCTGGACGGGAGGGCCGCGGGTAGTTAGAGCGTCCAAAACGGCCTCGGCGAGGAAGCCAAAATCATTGATTTTACTTCGGTTTTGGCGCAATGTTGGCCTGTGGGGGGGGGCGTAATTAAGGACCCCCCCTTCGTTGACCGATCTCCTCCAAGATGGCTCCAAGAAGCGCCCAGGAGGCCCCAAGAGGTCCCAAGATGGCCCCAAGATGGCCCCAAGAGGCCCCCAAAAAGCCCCCAGGAAGCCCCCAAGAAGACACTAAGCGGCCCAAAGAGCCCATCCCCGAGGCACCCAAGACCCCGAAGAGACCCCCAGGATCGCCAAGAGACCCCCAAGACGTCCCAAGAGGCCACCAAGAATCGCCCAAGAGATACCCCAAGAGGCTCCGAGAGGCATCCAAGAGACCCCTGGCCCTTGTGCTTGCCCTCCTCCTCCTCCTCCTCCTCCTCCTCCTCCTGTTCCTCCTTCCTGCTCCTACTCCGTCTTTTCCTCCTCCTCCTCCTCCTCCTCCTCCTCCTCCTCCTCCGCCTCCTCCTCATCCTATTCATCCTCCTTCTTCCCACTCCCTCATCCATCCATCCATCCACCTCCTTCTTCTCCTCCTCACTCCTTTGCACGGTTCGGCCGTCCTCCTCTTTGCTGCCGCACTTCCCTGGTCACCTCAACTCGCCTGGACATCGTTTCGGAAAGGGCTGGCGGGGATATTTTGAAAAAGGGGCCCCAAGACACACAAATAAATACACACAAATAAAAATTCCCCATATTTTCGCATATTTCCTGGGTTGTTGTCTTCCCTCCACTTCCCGTCGTTTCCGATATTTTCCTTGGAATCGACGATTAAGTGTGTCTGTGTGTGTGTTTTCCCTTCCTGCTATTTTTTTGTCGCGGCCGCAAGCGAAAACGCAGGAGGCGTCCGACTGGCGGGGATACTTTCTTGACTGGCGGATCCAAAGAAGAGTCCAAGAAGCGGGGCAAGCACGTCTGGGGCACAGGCGAGATAATTGGTTACGAAGGCGCCTAGGCCGAAGCAGCAAGTGCACCTGCAAGAGGCAAAATGCCCCCCATTACGATGCAAGCGACCCAAGAAAGGGGACGCAAACACCAGACTGGAGTAGACGGTGGGAAGTCGCACAATGGCGCCAGCTCAAACCGTACTGTCCAGAGAGCGCAGGTTAGGGCCACTGGCGGGGATACGCGAAGCGTCTAGAACTTGTTCGACGGTCTCGAGACCCCGCGAAGGCCCCCGGGGGCCGAAAACGACCGATGAACCTCCCGTCGTGCTTTTGTCCGAGGCGCCGACATGGGAGCCGCACGTATTAATTATATACATGTATGTGTATATATATATATACACATATATCGGCGGTGGACAAAACTCCCTTTAGTAAACCTCCCCTTAGTGAAAAAGACCTAGGGCAGAAATCGACGGACCTGGACCCGCAAAAATGACGGCCGCGACGCCCTCTCGCGAACCGAAAACAGCCAATTCCTCAATCGACGTGTCAGGGCAGGAGGTCTGTCCACCCCCCCTATATAGGACAAGTAATACACTGAAGATATGCAAGCCGTCGCCCGCAGCATAATGTATTGTTGTTGAACGCTTCACGTTTGCGATCTTGGCCTGGGGAATGTACTGAGAGCTGTGGCGTTTGCGAACAGAGTCTCATGGTCATGTCCCTGTCCCTGGAGCATGTCTGGACACGTTGTCTTTGGCATGCTGCCCGGCACACACGTCGAGCCCGTAGCGCCAGCATGCACGCCGCACAACAGAAGTAGCAGCGGCGTGAAACAAGGTCAGCAAAACAACCGCGGCAAATGCAAAACGCACAAGGACCCCAGGCCTCACGACACGGCATAGGGCCGAGTACGGCTGCAGCCTGACCATCGAATAAAAAAAGGAGAAAGGCCGACTGGGGCTCATGTATGAATACCTTCATGAAACTTTCAGGAACCGCGCGATTTCTTCGAAGTGGGCTGAACCGCCCCTCTCTGGCGCCCGGAGCGCCCCAGGGGCGGCGCCAGAGGGCCGCTTGCGGGGCCAAGCTGCGATTCAAGACACCATCGCGGAGCTCCGACAGTTGATGTTTATGCGGTTTTGTCAGCTTCGGAAGAAGGCCCACCAGGGCGCGCATGTCTGGGTTCGCTTGCGAGCGAGGGATGAAAGTGAGAAGAAGGAGGCCGTCACAGAAGGCGGCGAGGCTTCTCAGAAACCCTCCGGCCTTCTGAGCAGTGCTCTGTGTCTTCGGGGAAGGCTTACGGAACTGCTCATAAGGCTGGAAGCCTTCCGAACCCTCTGAGAAGGCCCGCCCCCTCTGCCTTCCCCCTCTGGGCCTCGCCGCCGACGGGTACCTTTTTTTTCTGACGCACGAACAGCACACACCCCTACCCATAGGGGGGACGCATGGGGCTATGGGTGCGTGCTGTCAAGGGTCCCCGCTCAAATGAGAGTCTCTCTAGGGGTCCGGCAACCCACAACTGGGTCAATGAACCCCACGCTCTGCATGATCCTGCAGGACCTTCGAAAAAGAAAACGCGCCATACACATAAACGTTTGGCACTCCAAGCGGAATTCTTGGATCTGGCACAGCCAGGGGGAGCCCAGTGTCGATCCAAGCAATCCGCACGGAGCGCCAAACATTTATGTTCATGGCGTGTTCATTCTCCGAGACAACCCGCACCCGGGTCAATAAACTCCTGGCTCTGCATGATCCTGCAGGATCAGGTGCTCTGGCTGACCCCCGTTCGCGGTAGGTCGGGCATGTCCTCACAAAGGCGTGCTTTCTGGAATAATAAAACATTGCTAACACATACTCCAAACCATTCTAAGGAGCACGACCAATGGTCACCTGACTATCTTGTTTACAACTCTTGAACATCGTGTCTCTTGTAGAGGGACATGCCCGACTGAACGTCTGCATGAAGCCCCGTCTCCTGCCGGGGGCGTTCAAGAGGGGGGCGCCAAAGATGGCTGGCGGCACGTGCGCGGCCCGAGTGGGGGGGGGCCAGGGGAGCCTTTTGAAATACGAAGAGGAGCCATGCAACCTGGGGAGATATCATGGCCCCCGCCATGATATCCCCCCCCCAAGTCATCCCCCCCCTATTCTTGGCGGCGCGCACAAGGGGGTGGAGGGAGGGGGATGTTTTTTTGTTGGAAGGAGGCCGCACTCATCGTTGTTTGATACTAGCTCCCTGCATTTCTAATACAGGATCCGCACGCGGAGCATGTATGAAAAACGGCACTGCATAGTGGAGCGCGCTCGGCGAGACCTCGAGCCCCCGCCCTCCCCTTTGGACACCCGAACTGGGTACCGAAAGAATGAGTACAATGCCCGACAACAAATGTTGTCCCAAACCAACAGCGGCCGCTGTTGGGCAGGCGGCCTTCTGTCTCAAATGGACACAGGCCGCGGCGGCGCGGACAGCGAGCCCTGTTCAGAATGAACAGGAACTGCTGTTGGGCATTGTACCCATTCTTTCCGTGCCCATCTCGTTCGCGCAGATCCCCGGAGCCTCCACGTGCCGGCGCCCTCGGCGCTCCCGGCCGCGGGCCCGCCAGCGCGGCGGGCGCGCCCGGCCGCGGCGGGCGGCGAGGGCGAGCGCCCCCGCGGCGCGTCCGCCCGCGGGCCAGCGGCCGGCGCGCCTGTTGGGGAGCTTTCGGCGGCGAAGGGCGCGAGGCTCTCGAGGGAGGGTCGAGGGTCGAGCCTCTCGAGGGATCGAGGGATCGGGGATCGGAGATCGAGGCGCTGCTCGAGGCACTGCCCGGAGCGCACTGGGGGGGGGGAGCGTTACGTCATAGCGGGGGGGGGAGCGGGGGCCATGACGCCCGTCATGCCCCAAGCAATAAAGAAATGGCCTCCAGGATCGAGGAGAAGGAGGAAGGCCTTCTCGGAGGGCGGCGGGACTTCTCGGAGGCCCTCGCGACCTTGCGACAAGTTGTCTCCTCGTCTTCGGGGAAGGCGTAGGAAGCTTCTCGGAAGGCCGGGGGACTTCCGAGCCTTCTGAGAAGGTCCGCCACTTCTCACTTCCCCCCCTCGCTCGCCGCCGAGAACTAGAGGGCAGAAAATCCAACCCCATCATAATCACCCCGACACGCGAAACCGCTTAGCAAACGCACCTACAGAAGGTGTCGAAGAGGGCAAGGCTGTTTAATAAACGCCCAAAGGCGTTTAGTAAACGCCACAGATCGGGTCCGGGTGGTCGTTCCTCCATTGAGGAACCGCGAGCATGGCGTGGCGACGCGCGGCGAAGATACCCGCAGTCAGGAGGAGAGAAGCCCAGGCGGAATGCCGGGGGGCTGCTGGTATCAGGGACGATGAATGCGAAGCGAGGTCCCTGTTTGGCCCCGAGAGAGCCTGCGTGCACGAAGAGGGCCAGATTAGCAGCCATGGAAGGACCTACGGAACAGCAGGCCCCCTCCGAACCCCACGCGGTCCTTCTTTCAACATCTTGGCTGTACATCCAGGCGGAGACCGAGCCCTGCGCGCGGACTTACTCCGCGCGGATGTCGCATCCTACCAGGAGGGGCTCGATCCGCATGGGCGAAGGCCGAGCACTCCCTATCTTGCCGTCGCTCGAACGTCCATTTCCCGTGCATGTTTGCGGTTTCGTGCGTATTTTTTTTTGCTCGATGGTCCAGGATGGTCCTCGATGGTCCTCGCCGAGAAAAAATGCACACGTCCGAGCAATGCCAAGCTGCTGACTCTCGTCGCACAGACTCCGCGTGTCTCCGCGCCCTCGCGGCCTGGACTCCGCAACACGATCCCGCGGAGCACGCGGTCGCACGGACACCTTCCGCGCCAGGGGGGGGCATCCGCGACAAAAAAAAAGCGCCTTATGTCTGCTGGGCCGCGGCCACGAGCCCCAGCTCGCGAAGGCCGTGGATGCGGAGATGTGTTTTTTCACCCACGAGATTTGACGAACGAACAACACACACCCATACCCAGAAGGGGGTCGTTGGGAGGAGGACTGGCTATGGGCATGGGTGCGGGCTGTCGGACCCCAGGGAACGCTCCCGTTCGAGCGGGGACCCCCATCCGACAACACGCACCCATAGCCCTTTTTCCGACCCCCTATGGGTATGGGTGTGTGTCTGGCCATCGCTCGGACGTCCATTCCTTGTGTTTTTGTTTCGGTTTCGTGCGTGGCCGTTTCGCCACATGATCAAGGATGCTCCTCGATGGTCCCCGCCGAGAGAAAAATGCACCCGTCCGAGCGATGCCAAGTGGGTTGTTGGTTCGTCAAGATTCACTTAGCGACGCGCGGAGATCAGCGCGGGGTCCTTTCGCTTCCCCGCAGAAGCGGCGCGCTCCGTCGCGTCCAATCGGGCGGCCCCGGCCTCTCGCGCTTCTCGGGGGGCAAGAAGCCTTTCTCCCGAGCCTTGGACCTGGCACCCAAACGCGCCAGATCCACGGATGCCCCCCCTCTGGAGGGGACACTTAGCACACACCCCTTGATCCGTGGAGCAGCGGGGGCATTGGCCACATGCTGTCGGAAGGGGTGGGGGGAGGGACAATGATCACCCCCCCCCTTGATCCGTGGAGCAGTGGGGGCATTGGCCACGTGCTGTCGGAAGGGGTGGGGGGGGAGGGCTGAAGGCAGAGAGAGAGAGGAGGGGGGATGAGGAGGAAGAGGGGGAGGAGGAGGAGGAGGAGGAAGAGGAGGAGGAGGAGGAGGAGGAGGAGGAGGAGGAGGAGGAGGAACGGGAGGCGAAGGAGGGCGAGGGGGGGGAGGAAGAGGAGGAGGAAGCGGAGGACTGGGGAGGCGGAGGAGGACGAGGAGGAGGAGGAGTAGGGGGAGGGGGGGAGGCGGATGGGCAAGCTCCATCGGAAGGTCAATCATTCTGTCTTGGTAACTACGCCATCCCAGACCCCCCCGAAGTCCGAAAGTTTCATGGCGTCGACCCAAGAGAACTCGACATCAAATCCCTGGGACCTGCCTCTCATCCCGAGCCGATTGCTGACGGTCCCGAGGTCAAGGTCTAATTCCCCGCGACCTCGTTATTCATCGCAAATCAACATCGCCGGCCCTCTTCGAACTTGGCACCACAGACAAGATTACCTACTAAAAAAACCCTGGGCCTATGCCCTTTCCGGGAAAAAAGGCTAGGCCCTTTCAACAAGCGGCGGGGCTTCTCAAAGCCCTCTGGTCTTCTGAGAAGCCGTCCCTGTTTCCCGGGAAGGCTAAGAGAACTGCTCAGAAGGCGGGAGGCCTTCCGAACACTCTGAGGAGGCCAGCCCCCTCTGCATTCCCCCGTGGCTCGCCGCATCATGATGTTGTTTGATGACCCGAGGGCGTCTGGCATGCATGCCAGCGTTCTACTCGTTATCGTGTGCTATCGCTAATGCGGTGGTCGTAATTCATGTTGTCATTGCTATCGCTGTTTGTCACATGAACCATCCAACTTCACCTCATGCCATCTTGTCGGCTCTTGCGGATCGATGCTAATCGACAGTACATCGAAGCTAATCGACGCTAGTCGACGCTAAATCGACGCTAATCGACGCTAAATCGACGCTATCTCATCGACTGCCAGATGCTAGTCCACGCTGAGCGACGCCAAAGACGAATGAAGAAGGCATGCCAAGCTCCCATGATTTGCTACAGAGGTCATCGTTGCTGTCGGTATCCATGTCAACGTTGTTATCGCTATCATCGTCGTTATCGCTATCATTGCTGATCGTTGCTGCCGTCACCGCTGTCATCGTGGTTCGCGCTATCCGTGTCGTCACGATCCGTGCAAGCGCTGTCGCGGGCGTGCACCGGAGCCTGGGGCGCCCGCGCGGGCAGGGACCTGGTTGTGCGGCGGCTCGCTGCCGCGCCACGCCTCCTCAGAGGACGAGAAACTAGCATTAAGTCGGGCCTGTCCCCCTACAGGGGGATTTTCGACGAAAAATAAAAGAATACCCCACAAATGCCCCCCCCCAAAATCTAACAATACTCAAAGAATAATCCCCGGACTACTTTTGGATTATTTTTTGACTACTTTTGGGGTATGCTTTATTTTTCGTCGAAAATCCCCCTGTAGGGGGACAGGCCCGACTTAAAACTAGCATCAAAACTGACAGCAAGGATGCGCAGTGTGAACGCTTGCCTATTCGGCGTGTCGACATTGGGCGGAAGTAGGGGGGAAAGAAAGGGGGGTCTGGCTTCGGCCCTCTGCTTAATGTCACTTTTGCGACAGTGCGTCCCGTGGGGGAGGCCCCACCTGCTCGAAACAGGCGCCAGACACGGCCAAGATCTACTCCATGGAGGGAGGAGGAGGGGAGGGCGAGGGCCCGCGCCGATCGCCAAAGCAAAGAATAAGAAAACGATCACAAGAAGAACGCAAGCCCCTTGGACTCCCGTGGTCACGCTTTCTTCGGGCGCGGCGCGCCATCGAAAGTGGACAAGGATGGGCCGAAGAGGCAAGGATGCAAGGGTACAGTCGGGGCGTTTTCCTAAGGAACCCTACATAAGGAACGAGGTCTGTTTTTCTGCCAAAAGTTAAACTTCGATTTCCAATGGAAAACCTTAGGGGAACTGAAGGCAAACTGCAGAACGATCAAGGAACACCGAGCCCCTCCTCAACGAGAAGGGCTCCTTCTTCAGGGCCCCGACTGTACCCTTGGGAAGGTGACCCATCCTGGTCGTCGGCTTCGCCTGTGCCAGGAGGTGTCTCGAACGAGCAGTGTCAGCCAGCGTGGGCCCCAAGCAGTGGTGTCCTACGCTGGCCATCGCTCGGACGTCCATTTCCTGTGCCTTTTTCGGTTTCGTGCGTGGCTGTTTCGCCAAATGATCAAGGATGCTCCTCGATGGTCCTCGCCGAGAGAACAATGCACACGTCCGAGCGATGCCAAGGGGAACCCTTGGGAAGGAGACCCATCCTGGTCGTCGGCTTCGCCTGTGCCAGGAGGCTTCCTCGAACGAGCAGTGTTGGCCAGCGTGGGCCCCAGGCAGTGGTGTCCTACGACGTACAGTCGGGGCCTTGACCTAAGGAACCCCAAATAAGGAACGAGGCCCCCTTTTTCCATAGGTTAAACTTCGATTTCCAATCGAAAACATAAGGAGAACCTGAGGCAAGCTGCGAAACACTGAAGGAACGCGGAGCCCCTCCCCAACGAAAAGGGTTCCTTCTTCAGGGCCCCGACTGTATGCGGCGCAATCCAGTCTGTGGAACCAGCGTGGCGCAGTCGAGGTGTCGCAGAGCGATGCTTACCAACCTCGAACGTATCCCCATCCCTAAAGAGTGACACGCCAGAAGGCGACGACAATCTCAGGGGTTCGCCCTCAAAAAATGAGGGGAGTCCCTACGATTGGCCTCGTGATGGGGAGGTGCCCAGCACAGGGATAGGGATATGTTCCAGGCTAGTAAGATGCGGAGCAACGCGATGCAGAACAGTGCAGCGTGCGATCCACGCACAGTCGAAAGCACGACCGGGGACTGCGGCGACGGGCGGCCACAAGCCGACGGGACTGCCAACCGGGCCCGGCTCTTCACGGAGAGAAATTCGACCTCAAGAGAAATTAGAACCTTAGTGGGCCCTGGAAACGACAAAGCCGTTTTTTTACAGGTTCCGTTTTGCCGT